AACCCTTTGCTGTGATCAGGAAGAAAGTAGGTGTGTCTAAAATATTCTACACAGAATCCAGGCACGACCAGGGAGAGACACAATTTATTGCCACTTCTCTGGTCTTATGAATGCAGAAAGGACAGAAAGTAGATTGTCAATGTGGAAAAAGACTACAGTAGAGATTGCATTTTCAGGAGATCATATTTTTAAAAATGTTTCATTGTTGGATTCATTTCTTTTCAAAAAATATTATTGCAACCTTCCTAGATAAGTTCAATTTCCTTCACTAACCCCCACATTGAAATACCTCACAGCACAATATCCTAATATTGAAAAGTTAGGAAAAAAACCTCTTTCTTAATAACCTTATAGTCTCCATGATGCAATGTTCATTTGATTTACTGCTTCAATATGTTCTCTTTAATGACAAGTTGCTTTGGTAATGGTCAAAAATCAGTAGTTTTATTGTCATGTTCCTTAATTTTAATGGCCTATATATTACTAGGAGACAGAAAGAAGACATATACTACAGTAAAAAAATGTTGGGCAAAGAACTAATTCATGCTTATGTTTGGACATGGAGAACCAGTCTGGCCTTATAAAATGAATTTATCAAAACCTTTGTTTCAACACTCCTGCTTTTACATTATTGAAAGAAATTTCTGATAATCTCATTTCCTGAATAGTCTGAATGGGCCACACTGGTCAAGTTTCCATTCTGCCTCATCATTCACAATATCTTTAGCTCCATGGAAACCAGCAAAACAGAGAGAAGAAGAGAGAAAGGTAGGTCCTCACAATAATGTTAATTATATAACCAGGTTTTATGCTATCACAAAATGCCTTCTTATGTGCTATCTCTTTTGATACTCTTAATAAGTTTTACCTAGACATTGATTCAGGTAAATCACTGAAGCTCTGATTCAGAGCTCCTTGGGCGTCATTTGAAATACTGAAGTGCTATTTACTAATGGCAGGACCAGAGCTCCAAGTAAGGATGGATGGATCTCAGGGTCTTCTTTACACACCCAAGTAGCCTAAGGATTTCCAGAGAACATATCTCTCCCTTAGCCCACAATGCCTTTAGAAAGTGCATTTAGCCAGAGACACCAGAAAATAAAAGGTACACAATACAGTGAAGGGATTAGTGGGATGGCATCAACTTCATTGGAGAACTGGAAAATACGAATGGCCTAATCATAAGGATATAAAAGATCATATTTGCTGTTACTGTTTCCAGTTTTATTGACTTGGTGAACAGCCCAAGGAGAGATATGGTAGATAGGCCATGAAAGGGGCGATGGTGACAGAGATCCTTTGAAGTAGCCAAGAACACCGAAATTCCCCCATTCCAATAGCACCAACTGCAGCCAAAGATACACTTGGTATGACTGAAGTACCAGGTTCCAAATTTAGGAAGAGCCTGAGACATTCCTTTATTTTATAAATGTGAAACAAAATTGAGAACTTGTCCAACTCCACTTAGACAGATAGTTTCCCCTACTTTGAAAACCTCCACAAAAGTGTAGTGGAACCCTCTCCTCCATACCCCTTTCTGTGTTCATCATTGTTAACTATCATGATATTTCTCCCAAGGTTTAGCTTGAATCTCTCAGGCTGCATTTTATGCTCTTTCCCTTGAGAAAAAGGATAAAATAAAATATATATACTCTTTTTTGTGAATCTTCTTATCTCAATGGAACATTCTTCAGTTTTAGATATGATTGGGGAGAATCTTCTTTTTAAGACTGACAAAAAAAAAATCTGATTCATACCTACCTCATTAACCCATCTTTTTCAAGCAAGTCCTCTTTCCCCTTCTTCACTGGAGCTTTGTTTTTCACAATAGACTGTTCTCTTATGCTAATACTTTTGTCTTAAAATGTTAAGCATGAATGCCACTTCATTTAGACAGACTTCTGTCAATAAAGCTTACATGAAATGTAGCAAAAATACCTAGATTTTTATTTTTCATAGCTTTGCAGGTTATTGCTCTGCCGCATGGCAACATTAACTTCATGGAACAATGACAGTTAAGACTCTACCGGGGAAAAGCACCATTGCAAAGTTCTTCTTGAAACCACATCAGCATAAGGAGTTCTTGGCAAAGACTTATTATCTGTGGATAATGATAGAATGCAATTGTCATGAAAAGCTAACCTTAACCTAAGTTAAATTTCTGTCACCAGGAATGTGTAAACTAATAGATCCTGATGTTAGTTTACATGTTAATCCAAATTTAGCGTGGAAATAAGGAGATTTTTTTCACTCTAGAATCGGCCAAGTTATAGAATATGTTTTAAAGAAAGTGGATATTTGGTAAGCATTAGCACATCTAGTTGGTAAGCATTAGCATATCTAGTACAGAGAAGACATGCCTAGGACACCTACATGCAGGAGGGAGGCATCCAGTAAAGGTGTGGTGCTCAAGTTGACTTGTAACAAGGAGAATTAAATAGCCTACAGTTACCGATTACTGAATATCCAAAAATGGCCATTAGCTCCTTGGATGTCCTTTATCCAAACTCATGGCTATTGGGAACAGCTTCCTGTTGGCTAAAATAATGACTTTGGAACATTGTGGGTATTACTTCCCTCTTTGTCATTTTCCTTCCAGCTAGAGCTCATTATCTGGTATTATGCAGCTGATGCTAGTTTGAGGCCCAAGATGATGGGATGAGACGTTTTGGCAACTTTAGTAATGAGGGCAGATTCCCTAGGTGCTGCCACTGTTTCATACTGCTGTATTTGGAGAAGTCCTTGCATGTCATCTAACATCTCTTTTTTTCAGATAAGAAACTCTGGCATAGGCAGATTGAGTTACTTGCTCAGGACACCTAACTTATTAATGACAGAGCTTCAAAAAAAACAAAAAACAAAAAACCACCACCACCACCAACAGCAAACCCCAAAAAACAACCCAGGTATCCTGACTTTCATGCTGGTACTATCCAACTATAGTTCACGAAACTACCTCTTGATCCTCTAAGTGAGAGGTGAGAGGAACTTCTAATTCAAAGTCATGGCAGCACCATGTAAAACTCAGTGTATTGTAACCAGAAACACTGTAGGGCAGGGGGGTGGAGTAGGATCTGGATCTCATAATGAATGAGTGCAAAAGCACTAGGGAGGGCTCCCTGGGAGATCGCACATGGAGAGGAGGGCAGGGGAAGAATAGGAAAATGCCTGGGGCTTGAGGAACATTCTACTATTTTTTGTTCTTTGCTTGTTTTATTTCTTTGTTGTTTTTATTGTTGTTGTGTAGTCTCACCCCTTTACATTAGAAGCCAACCAAACCTCAACTAAGGCCTTCAGTGTTTAAATTTCAGTGCCTTAAGCAACAACAATAAACACCCTTCCATTTATTCAATGATACGGGTCAGAAAGTATGTTACCCTTTAACTGCCTTAGACAATTTAATCACCATAAATTTCTGGGCATGCAGAAGGTATCATCTTTGTTGTTATCCTCGGGCTGTACTTCCAACCTTCCATCTGCCTTTCCAAAGCTTCATATCTGGATTCTGTCTCTTTGTGCAGCAACTGGACTGAGTTTGGGCTCTCCATTCTGGCTGCACTATGGACAGTCAGACTAAGGAGCTATCTCCCCTAATACTTGACTCCATGCAGGCTCCAGAAACCCTTCTTGCCTCCTGAAGGTAATTACTGGCCCTAGAATTAGAGCGTCTACTGCGAAGCTCCTTCCTGAGAGCCGGGAAAACCCACTGGCCCTTGTTATCCTCTGTGTAAATGTGATTTAATGTCATTTTTTTTTTCAACTGAGAAATTCCATGTTAATTCAAAGTTAGTCATGTAATATGATAGTACAAACCTCACTAGGCTAGAGCTGCCATCCTAGGCTTGAGGTCCCCTTGAGTGCCAAACTGGTTATTTACCCAAAGTTCACATACTCCATGCTAATTTACCTCTGTGACTTTGCACTTGCTATTTAGAACACTTTTCTTCCTTCATCTATCTGGAAGTGTTGAACTCTGTCTTTCAAGCTCAGCTAAAACGTCTGTTCTGTTGACTTCCCCAATCACTCTGTTTTTTTTTTTCCCCCTACTGTGGGGAGACTGTATTTGTACAGGAAGAAAAGAAATTGTGAAAATGGAGTTCTAAAGTTGTCAGGATCCTTAAAGGTCAATTAATCAAGCTTCTAATTTTACAGGGTAAAAGATCAGGGAAATATAGGAGTGGTAAGAAGATCAATGAATAAAGACTTTTCGATACAGAACAGAAATTATGACTTAAGTTGCCTCATTTCTAATCCAGGGTCTCTTCAACATGTAGGTTGTAGCCACATTAAATTCTAGAATTTAACATTCTCGACAGAGGAGATGCATTTGGCTGACTGCCTTGTCACTGTTCTGTGATTACAGTGTGCAGGGCAGTAACTTCTCTTAAAAAGCAGGTTGAGATGAGCATTTCACTTTGTGTTTCTGACCACAGGCACATTAATGGAGCACCCTGAATGTCAGATTAATATTATCAGAAAGGGGCAGCATAATCTGCCTGCTCAGGAATCTGTGCAGCTTTGAAGAATGAGGGGAAAGAAACAAGGACCAATGAGGATAGATCATTGAATAAGAAAGACCATGACAAACTGATTTTGTGAATTAATGCACAAAGGAAAGATCTCCAGTATACCAGTTCCTTTATGACTGGCAGGTAAATGTCTATCTGTTGGTAGGAAAATATTCACTGGACAGTAGAGTGACCAGTACTATTTGAGAAAATGAAAAGCTATTGAAAAGGAATAATAGAATCAAACAGGCAGTGAGAAGTTCAGAGAACTCTTCAACAAAAGGAAAGCAAGCAACTTTCTAATGACAACCTATCCTAAATGTAGCTGTATATCCAGGGGGTGGGGGGGAAGATTGAGAACAAATTCTCCAACAATTGAATTCATGGTAATGGAATGTAAGCACATCGGCTCACTAGGACAGAGGACTCAACAAATAATAAAGTAGGGGAAAAAATAACTTTGCCCTTCAGAAATACATTTTTTAACTTTAGGTAGCAAGAGTGGAGAGATTTCTTGATGCAAAATGCCTGAAGTCCTGCTATTGCATTAGCCTTTATGGTTGGGAATTGGACGATTCACCAGAAGCACCGAGGGATCAAAGCAGAAGGTGAATGCCCCGAGTCTGAGAGAGCGTCGGACGCATGAGGAGAAGCAAAGGCAAGTTTTCTGTGAATGCCAAGTGCACGTTCCCCTGGGTAGAAGGGAGGACAGCTGTTAGGTTGCTCCCTGATGGAGTTAATCTTGACAAGCTTTTTGGCAGTTGTTTCATCTTTATGATACCATAAGATAAAAATAGTAATCTCTGTTAGAGCTTTACGGTTTTTTAAATGCTTCAAATTACATGACTTTTAATAGCCTATGCTCACAATCACCCTGGGAGTTAATGCATTTTTATTGTCTGGGCTGATCTGGGACAAGTCACAGTCCCCTCCACTTTGTTCCTAGCCATCACCACTTCGTGTGATCCTGACCCTATTGTTCCCTCCATTAAGGCCTGACTTGTCTCTGACCCTTGCCTCTGACTCCCATTTTCTGGTCTGCCTTTGCTCTTTGAACTTTTCAAAATGCTCATGGGTGCACAGCCAGACTCCAAGTCCTCCAAATACTTGAGGCGACTCATCCAGTGCTTTCCACTTTTTACCACCAGCCAAGTCCCCCCATTCTCCCTATCCCTCACCCAGGTAATTCTCTTCTTTACCCATCCAGTGGGTGAGAAATAAACCTGATTTCCTGATTGCCTAGTATTCTAGCTGGGCCCACTTTTTAGACAAGGAAACTGAAGCTGAGAGAAGTTTCCTTGACTAGGAAGATCACATGTCTCATAAATGCTTGAATTATAACCCAAATTCAAGCTACCTCTAATTATCAATAGGCTATACATTAGCCACCCTTTTTATACTCTCCAATCATATATCACTCAACAGCAAATGCTTTTTCAATGTAAATTAACTGTCTTTCCTCTAAAAATGTCAAGACAGGGGCTGCCTCGTATCTCTCAATTTTGCAAGTTTAGTGGCAGGACCATGCACGGGCTGGGTTGCTTTGGCTTAGTGTAAGTTATATCAGATAGGGATAACATCAGACAAATCCAGACAGAATTATGTAGTAAACCTACAGCCACAGTTAGGGACGTTTGTATGCTCACATGTGTGCATGTATGTGTAGCTTGGAGGGGAAGTTCAGAAGCAGTGGTCAGGGATCCAGTGAAGAACATGGCCGAGGGTCTCGTCATGGAGGGTCTGTATGTAATATTAAGAAATTTACATCTTAAAGACGTGAAGACTTGAATGAGACTTAAAGTGATTTTCAGCAAAAGAGTAATAGAATCACATTTATGGTGTTTATATTACATTTTATGCCTTCGCACTTGTATGTACCATGTATATACTCCCAACTGACTTAAAAACATAAACAAAATGGTCAAGAGTCCTGAGGGGATTCTCAAACCATAAGCACAGCCAACAGGATCATCTTTCATCAAGCAAATTAATTCCAGCATCCCTGTTTATATCTTCTTGATGATTTATAAATTTCATACAAAACAAAGATTAAATTATGTGCAAAAACATATTTTAAATCAGATATCAGCTCCAGAGTTATGGAACTATTTTCCATTTCATTTTAGAATACAATTGCAGAAAGCATATTGTGTATTGTATACCATTTAATGAATTTAATTTCCATTAATAATAGTACCTTTTTGGAGATGTCCTTGGCTGACCTCTCTTGGTTTCCCAAAAGCAGAAAGATAGATAACAAGTAGGCTGTTCATCAAGTGACATTGCTTTTATCTGGAAACATCCCATTGCTGTTGAAAGTTTTTTTTTTTTTAATAAGTTGAAAGTCCTGAATTGCCTGAGTTGTAGTTTTCTCATATGAATATATAATAAATCATCCTCAAAGTCTGACTGTATAAACAAATAGTTTCTGTTCTAAAAAGGGCTTGCTCTGGGGCCCAGAGAATCAAAACAACTTTCAGGGAAACTAAAATAAGGCTGTCAGCCTTTATAAATTATCTCTTGGATTGTAATAATAAAAAAGCAATGCTTAGACCCAAACAGTGGCATCTACTGTGTCCTTTGCTTCTACTTACAAGTACCAGGGGTGACCCATAAGGCAAAATAATCAGCATCCCAGACAACCAATCCCTGAAAAGCAGAGAGATGGCTAATTTCTAGGAGATTAGCCAGGACAACAAGCATAGACACAGAGAGGTTGTGAAAAACCTCATTAATCATGAATAAAGCAGGAAGCCACCATTGGTCATTTCAAGAGCTATAACTTCATAAGAAACCCGAAAAGCAAGAGTTTAATCAGTATGTTAAAAGCTGAACCACAAAGACCTAAGTCAGAGCAAATAATGCCAAGAGTCGGAGAATTTAGAGAGCTTAATCCTGAAAAGACATGCCTCTTGTTTAACACCGCATCGATGTTACTGTACAATTGCATATTACTATATAGTACAATTTGAATATCCATTATAGTACAATTTATAGTACAATTTGAATATTCAATTAAATATACAATTGAAGACTCAACTGCTTCCCATGAATGTCCCAAACAGGCTGTTAAGGTGGTAGCCATTATAACAGATATTTTTCTAACTCGTGGTTTAGAACTTATTGAGAATGATTGCTCAGGTATGTGAGGGAAGGAAAGGGGAAGAGGGTCCCATTGGTAAACCCAGATTCTGTATTTTGCTCATCAAAACAGAAGGCTGTAGTTAATTTGTCTGGTCCTTCCGGGAAAGCAGTTTAGGCATCATCTGTTGATACATATCCCTTGAGGGTCTTCTCCTTCAGCCTAAGTTATCAAAATCGTCCTCCCAAACACATGCACACCCATTCCGCATTTCATCCCATTTAAGTGTTCTGATAAATAAGGTTTTCTTCCTCCTTTTACATTCTATGTAACATGTTACTGCTCTAGTCGGTTGCCAGTTGACCTGGCTCTGATCACCACTGAATATCATCCATCTGAAGAGCAATCCACAGTAAGTGCAGTGTTCTATAGCATATTTATAGTTTATCAAGTTTATTCAAATATATTTATTTACACAGCCCTGTGAACATTTGAGAGAGAATAAATGGCATGTCCGAAGTCATATAGATCATAAATGGCAGAGCTAGAAACTCAAGTCCTTTGACTCTAAATTCTATAATTTATCCTTTAAAGTATGGTTCTAGATTGGGACTTACAACCGTTCTCCGTGCCTAGAAGTCATTGCAAAAGGAAAAATTAAAAGACAGCCGCTGCCTTAGGTGGTTATGATACAAGTGAAGGGAGACTTACAATCTAGGTCAGTAGCTGTGGCATCTTTCATGATATGGCAGAATGTGTGTGATGGTCTAAAAGATATCTTCTGATACTAGTTGTCTTTGTGACTCTAAAAAGAAAAGATACTGATGGGTAAAGTAAATAACACCTGGAGTAAACCATGATTTGAGAGCTCATTAACTCCCATATGTCTCTTGACAGTAATGGAAATTTTGTAAATTGCTGCCTCTAATATGACCAAGCTGAATGCTTCACTATATATTGTGAGCAATTTGGTAGAGTGAACTAAAGAAAATAATGATTTGTACTTTACAAGTGCACAATTTCCAAGACTTTTCAAAATTCCATTTATTTACAAGTTGAGCTTTCTTTAAAAAAAATAATAGAGGGGCGCCTGAGTGGCTCAGTCGGTTGGGCGACCGACTTACGGCTCTCTGTGGAGAGATTCTGTGTCTCTCCATCCCTCAGCCCCTCCCCTGCTCATGCTCTGTGTCTCTCTGTCTCTCAACAATAAATAAACGTTAAAATTTTTTTAAAAAAAAGTAATAGAGAATTTCAACTAGAGTAAGATTTGTACAGGTAAACAAAAATCTGAAGTTTAGATGTATTTTTTACATGTGAATTTTATCACTTTAATGTACTCATAATATTCAGAACTAGGATAATATAAAGTTCAAAATTAGCATAGTAAAGTTAGAACCAAGGACAACTTAATTTTTATTTTATTCAGTTCTAAATCAATCATGTTTACTGGGCACTAATTAAATAAAGAGCAGATGACATAGGAGTCCCTTCTCTCAAGGCATTTAAGGTGTGGCTTCATCGTGAAAATATGGAAGTTAAGATGGTGGCAGGCTTGAGCTGTTTATGTCAGCTCTCCCACTTCCCATTAAAATGTCCATGAAAATATGAAAAGTTTTGTTAAAATCTGGCAAAATCACTGTAAACTCAAGACAAGAGAAGACCATATGCCAGATCCGGGTGGAATTTCAACTAATTGCATCAGCCGTGGGGATAAATTCAAGAAGTACATTTTTGAACTGCACAACACATGCTTTAATCTCTGAACCAAAACAGGCCAGATGGACCTAGTAAGGTTAGCAAAGGCTTTGATTCACCTTCTCTGTAAGAACTTAATTCTGCAACAGTGAAGATGGACTGACTCAGAAAAACAGGTGGCCATTCTCCAACTCCAGAGGAGTTAATTTTGTAGCCACATAGAGCCAAGGTCTTATCCCCTCCACATGTATTCCCTATGACATTCTTTTTATTGCCATCATTTCAAAATGGCAATTCCCAGAACACAGCACAGAAGGAAGAACATAGGGATGAGAAGAAACTTGATAAAACAGAATATGGTCTGTCCCCTGAACCTGGAAAGAGATAAGAAGAATGTTAGAAGTGCAGGCTGGGAGCGACGGTCTTTCATGTAATTCCACTCTTCAAAATACAAATTACATCATACCCCCTAGTTTAGTGAGAGAATCTGACAGAGCAAGAGAAGATCCAGGAAACTTGCACTGGATTCCTGCCTTCTAACAATGATAAAATGAGTAAGAACAAAACAACGTTTATGTTTAAAATTTTTAATGTTTATTTTTGAGAGCGACAGAGACAGAGCATGAATGGGGGAGGGACAGAGAGAGAGGGAGACACAGAATCTGAAGCAGGCTCCGGGCTCTGAGCAAGCTATCAGCACAGACCCCGATGTGGGGCTCGAATCCACAAACCGCGAGATCATGACCTGAACTGAAGTTGGGCGCTTAAGTGACTGAGCCATCCAGGTGCCCTTTAACGGTTATATTTTAAGGAAACAATTCTCCAGACCCCCAGGAGATAGTGATGGACCTAGAACATACTACCAATCCTTTCTG